GAGTGCAACGCCCACATCTCAAAATCCAATCAACAACTGATGGATAGAACCAAGTCTCCACCATTTCATTCGGATGTATGTCGCAATACAGAAACAAAGATCTGTTGTTACTTCTGTTTCACGGTAACCTGGATACTGGGTATCTAGGCTAGTGTTTGGAAGGTTGTGGGTTCAAAGCCCACAATGCATAACAATTGTGCACATTATTGGAATAGGTTTTTGTAAAACAACTATAATTTGCAAAGTTCTATGCATTACCCGTTTCTTGCATTTCTATTTATTAAATACTCTAACTGGCATTTTGCATCCCCCACCCCCCCCAAAAAAATAGCTAAAATATGCTAAAATTAATTTATCAGATTACTTCATATTCCTACTCATGAGATTGAATTCTAATTCGGATTCCTCACCTGCCCTCTCTGGAGCGGTGCAGGCTGCCGTGGAAGCTGCTTGATTTGCTGCGCATGCTGCCCGCGCGGCTGGTGCTGGCACTGGGGGGTTCGTCCAACATGGCAAGGTGCGTGGAGGAGGCGTGGGTGGAGGTGCCCTGCGTTGAGGTGCCTCTAGACTTCCTCATCACTGGGGTGTTGGGGTCCCTGAGGAGGAGCTGGGTGAAGTCGGGCTCCTGCAGCACCTGCCTGCTCTCGTGCACTGCGCTGCTGAGGGTGGTAGAGATGGGGGAAAAGAGTGGCAAAGAGGGGAGGGAGTGACAGAGGAGTGAAGGAAGAGAGAGAGGGAAGACAGAGGGCATAAAGGAGTCAAAATGAACAAAAGAGGAGGGGGTGGGACAAGGGAATGGAGAGGAGGTTAATGCCCTGATGTAAGGGACGGGTGTGTAGAGAGGAAGCCTTTACAAGTGAAAGTGGTCAGCCATATTGTTGTGGCAATAGTTGGGGGTTCGGTGCCTTGCTCAAGGGTCTCACCTCAGTTGTGGTATTGAGGGTGGAAGAGAGCACTGGTTATTGCAGTTCTGCCGGGCCTTCGGGTTACAAGTCCGACTCTCTAACCATTAGGCCACGACTGCCCCAACAATACATGAACAATATTTAATTGTTCATGCTCTATTTTTAAATTTAGATTACGTCACTTAAAACTAATCTTTAAAAACATTAATAATTTAATAAATGTAATATTAAGCCATTCTCAAAATGAATATCAGTTTTTCATACTATAAATTATAATGCTCTGATGCCTAAAGTCACTTGTAGCACTTAAACTATTATTTTTTATTTATTTAGACAATTTAGAATTTTAATATTGGCCATAACTAATAAATAAATTAAATAAGTATACTACTATTCACAAATTTCAGTAAGATTTTCAAATATTTTATAAGAAGTCTCTTATCATGGCTGCATTTATTTTATAAAAAAATTGTTAAATATTACAATTTACATTTTTTTTTCTATTTTGATATATTTTAAAATGTAATTTATTCCTATGATGGCAAAGCTGAATTTTCAGCAACCATTACTCCGGTCTTCAGTGTCACATGATCCTTCAGAAATCATTCTGATACGCTAATTTGGTGCTCAAGAAACATTTCTTATCAATGTTAAAAGCATATTTTTGTTAAGGATTTGTTATGGATTCTTTGATGAATAGAATGTTCAAAAGAACGGAATTTATTTAAAATAAAAATCTGTCAGTCACTTTTGATCAATTTAATGCACCCTTGCTGAATAAAAGTATTAATTTGTTTTGAAAAAAAAATCTTACTGGCCACAAACCTTTAAATGGTAGTGTATTTACACAGCATAGAATTTTCATACTGGTATGCATAAATAAAATAAATAAAATCAGTAAGAATTTTAATATTGTTACACATCTACTTAAAATGACTTTCAAGCTCTTTATCAGTTTGTGTTCCTTGGAATTCAAACTCATGAACTTTTTGGTCACACAACATATGTGCTTTTCACTTTAGGCATAAACAATAATGGTATAAATTCTCCAAGCATTAATCGAAACTCACTCTTTTCTGTGATGCCCATTGAAGAAACTGGCCCACTCGAAGCAGGTCTTTTTACTGCCGACCCAAAACACTGACGGGATCCCCACCACCAGCATCATCAGGTACTTGATGAGGAACAAGGCGATATCTGGCCTGCTTGTCTGTTCCACCTGTGAAGACAACAGCAATAGATTGGTTTTCACACATTTGCTTAGTAAGCAACATAAGAACAGGTGAAACCTGAATGATTTGTAATCAGAACATGTAAGAACATTCTTCCCTTGTGGATCTCGGCGTTTGCTCATAACCTCATGCAGTGTGTGCGTAAGTGTATTTCTGTATGTTGGTTTAGCCCTGGGTTGTGTGTGTGCGATTGTGTGGACGGGAAGTGCTTTATCTCAGCTCACTGCACAATTGCCAACGGCATAAACATAGCTGCAGTCAACACAAATGTCTGTCCTCTTCTTTACCTAATACACACCCTCTCTCTCTCACTGCTTTAGATGGAGCATTTCTTCTGCTCTGAATGCTGTCGGCTTGCCTTTACATATCCATATACATTACTGTTATTGTCTTGGTATTTTTTTATATAATGCAAATAGATTTATATACTTTTATTTTTATTGTATCCAAACACTTTTCCATTATATGACATCATCACTTACTGCAGTGTGACTAGAGATCTAGAGATATTTATAGCAATGCACTTCATGGAGTACTGCTACAGAGTTAACATGACACATGACTGTCCTTTTTGCTCCACCACGACAGAACAGAAGTTGCGGCAGTAAACAAGGCCTCATTAAAACCAATCCCACGCTGCCTCAGGCATGTACACACACACACACACACATATGGATAAACATCATTACTGAGATTTTTACTGAGCTGAAGCTGAAACTTTTCATGACAGTCTTTAGTTTTTAGTTATGTTTCAGTTTGTTTGCATCATGTTAGCGTCACGTGTATGTTCCCGTTTAGTTCCTGTTTGTCCTTATTTGGTCCTTCCTGTTCCTGTCCCCATTTAGTTCTATTAGTTCCAGGTGTTTCTCATTATTAGTTATCCTCCTCACCTGTCTGCCCCTCATTATCTGCCCTATTTGAGTTCTAGCCCGTTCTGTTCTCCCTTGTCTGGAATTGTTGATGTCAACCCTTGCTACATGTGTTTTCCTGTTTCCCTGGATATTATTAAAGTCTATAAGTTTGAATTTGACTCTGCGTCTCCTCACAGTAGCGAACCGTGACAGTTAGACACAAGATACTGTATATTCACAGTCAGCTGCTGCTGTATGTTTTACCGAGATATGCAGCTGGAAATGTCTCATGAACTTAGTGTCAGAAAAGACAAAGCACAAAATCTGCAAATCAGGGACATTTTACACCCTCATGACATCCTTTTATGTCAAATGCTTCAATTTAGTAATTTCATTCAAATAAATCTTCATCTAAATAATATGAATAAGTATCAATAAGGAAAACATCACGTCACCACAAAACTAAACTGAAATATTTTGATTTTCTCTGGCATTTGTCACTTTTGAGGCCATTTTTACCCTGAGCTTCCATTCATTTCTAACTCTGGATGAAGCTTACATCAGCAGGAGTGACTTAAAAAAAAAAAAAAATGTTTTACAGTGACCACTTCGTCACAACAAATTTTTTTAAACACTAAAAACTTTTTCTAATATAGAGTGATGACAGAGTTGGCAGGAGACTGTGGAGGCCTTCAATTATTAACACTGGACAAAGGACACATTAAAAATCTGTCATTATATATGCTAAAACAATTGCTTATTTTTAGGACAATATGAACAAATACTACTGTTCAAAAGTTTGGGGTTAGTTTCATTTTTTGAGCAACAAATCAGCATATTAGAATGATTTCTGAAGGATCATGTAACACTGAAGACTGGAGTAATGATGCTGAAAATTCAGCTTTGCCATCACAGGAATAAATTACATTTTAAAAAATAGAAAACAGTTATCTGTATTTACAGTTATCTGTATTTTTCTTCAAAAAATGCAGTCTTGGTGAACATAAGATACTTCTTTCAAAAATATTTAAAAAAAAATCTAACCAACCCCAAACATTTAAATGGTAGTGTAAGTATTTCACATCATTTCTTCTTACCTTAAACGGGCAGGGGATGTGATACTCTCTACAGCGCTCCTGTACCCAGGTGGTCTCCCAAACTGATCTGTGGCTCTGCTCATACAGACAGCATCCAATGACTGTCAGCAGAGGCACCAGATACAGGACGGAGAACACGCCGATCCGGATCATGAACTTCACCAGTTTGTCCTGGTTCTCCTTCTCCAGGGGAATCTCCATCCGGACCCTATTTAGCGCTGCAATACCCGCCAACAGCAGCACCACACCTACGACCACATCCAATGCGAGAGGCACCAAGAGAAACCAGCGCAAGGCCATGAGGTCATAGAGCCCCACGAAACAAACGCCGCTCATGCTGTCGCCTTCGATTTTGTTCATAGCCATGAGGGTGATGGTAAGGGCTCCCGGGATGCCCCAAGCCACCACGTGGAACAGCAAAGCCTTCTTCTCGATAGCTTCACTTCCCCATTTGGGAACGGCCGCCAGGAACCAGGTGATGGTGAGGATGACCCACCAAACGCTTCCTGCCATGGTGAAGAAGTAGAGAGTCATGAAGAGCAATGTGCAGGCCTTGTTGTGGGAGCCCTGGGTGACGGTGGAGGCGCGGAAACGACCCGGGCTCGCTGCGTTGCATGACACGCGATCCTCTAGCAGGAAGCCCAGGAAGAAGACTAGGGATACCATCATGTAGCAGACCGCATAGAAAATTATGGGTCGCTCAGGGTAACGGAAGCGCCCGACATCGATGAGGAAGGTCAGGAAAGTGAAGAGCGTCGCCGACAGGCAGACTATGGAGACAACGCCAATGAAATAGCGGGCGAAAATGAGCTCATCTTTGCGGAAGTACATGTTCGGGCAGGGAGGCGAGCAGTCACGCACGCCCATGAACGAGTAGCCCAAGTCAGGTTCAATCTTCAGCTCTCGTGGGCACCAGAAGCCGTAGTCCCGCTGAACTGATAAGGGAGATTCCTCCGTCCCGTCACTGCTCTGGAGCAGGTCTATTGCTCGGGGGTAAGACTCATCACAGACTGGAAACCTAGGAGACAGAGTTTCATTTCAGAATATGATATCATATAATAAAGATGTCTTGCTGAACAGCAGAACTTAATGAATGTGATCCTGTACTTGCTACACTCCATCTCATCTGGCCAGCTGACCCCAAACATGTCCATCAGCTTGTAGCAATCGCTCTTGGCACGCTGGCACAGGCGCCGACATGGCAAGGTCACGCGGCCGTACTCGGTGCACACGGGTGCGTAAAGGGCACACAGGAATGGCCGTATTTCAGTAGAACACTCCAAGTTCACTATGGGATGAAAGGGCTGTCAGACAAGAAAAACAGTGTTATTAATAATAATAATAATAATAATAATAATAATAATAATAATAAACTATACATAGGCTAACGGCAATAATTTTTTTGTAAATATTAAATATTTAAAATATTTAAAATTAAAATAAAAAATAAGTAAAATAGCACTCTAAGTTTAGGATGAAAAGACTGTATGGACAAACAAGAGAAATATAGAGTGCTAATAATAATAATAATAATACACTCTAAAAAATGCTGGGTTAAATACAACCCAGTGCTGGGTAAAATAGGGACAAACCCAGCAAATGGGCTGTTTTGACCCAGCGGTTGGGTTAAATGTTTAACCCAACCTTCTGGGTAGTAACCCAACCGCTGGGTCAAAACAACCCAATTGCTGGGTTTGTCCCTATTTTACCCAGCACTGGGTTGTATTTAACCCAGCATTTTTTAGAGTGTAATAATAAACTTTAAATACACCATTTATTATTTAAAATGTTAAACATTTAAAATCAATCAATCCAAATTGACCCTTCACCATTTTTAATCACAGTCACTTGGTCACCCTTATGTAAAATGAGAATAAAAATTGGATCTGTAATGCAACCTCTCTGAGGAGGCCTTTGTTTTGGGGCAGAAGACATGCTGTTTATTGCTGAGGCCCACTTACACCATGAGGCATTCTGGGAGTAGAACCAGCTTTGGGGCCGGACATAAATATGCAAATCCCATGGGGGAGAAGAAAAAAGACTCCACCCAGGACCAGACAGACAATAAAGCCTCCACCCCTGCAGAGTAAGAGCCTTTGTGATGGTCGGGTGGGGGTTCTGACACCCCTTGTGTTGAAAAAAGGACCAAAACTTACAATCATTCAAAGCCTATATGAACACGCTTGAAAAAAAAAAAAAATCAATGTTTCTATACAAAAAGATTTAAATAAATAAATAATTTCCCTCCTAGGGGTTGGCTATTAAAAATGCTATAATAATTTATATAATTGCAGTAGAAAGAAATATAACAAGTTTTTGGTGGTTTAAAAATGCTACCAATTTAACCAATTACTATATAAAACGTAATACAATTGCTCCTAGTGGTTGGCTATTAACATGCTATAATAATTGAAATAATTATAATATATATATAAAAAAAAAAACTCCTATTGCTTGGTTGTTAAAAATAGCTAATAATTTATTCAATTATTAAAATCAAATGTAATAACATTGCTCCTAGGTTTTGGCGATTAAAAATGCTATAATAATGTAGATAATTATAATATAAAGAAATATAACTCCTAGTGTTTGGTTGTAAAAAAATGATAATAATTACTACAAAATAATAATATTGCTCCTCGAGTTGGTGACTTAAAATGCTATAATAAATTACATAATTAAAAATATAACTCCTAGTGTTTGGTTGTTAAAAATGCTAAAATGACTTACATAACTATTATATACAAATATGTTTGGCTATTCAAAATGCTATTTGTTACAAATTACACACAATGTTGACTTTCATTATGTTCCTAAACAACCAATTCTTTACTTAATATGTAGAAAATTAGAAAATTAACCAAGCGTTCAGGCTAAATCCAATGAGATGATCTAATGCGCTAACAACAGTATTACCATTATTTACTATTGCAAATAAAACCATTCTTTAAATTATTGCAACAGTCCAACACATATACTGGATGTATAATACATATCCATAATGAGCGCATTCAGCCACTGCCAGCACACTAGGCTACCACCCAAAATGTCTGTAAAAAGGGATTAGGATGGATATTATGCTTGCCCATTTTGACACAAAGCATCTTAATCCAGCAATCATTTCCAAGTACCTAATCCATATTTAACGCAGCATATACCACTGAGATGTGCCGCTAACATGACATGAGAAAGAGCACTGGCTTTAACCATCAGACCATAAAAGCATGTGAAAAAATGCTTGTTTTCATCATGTAGCTTCTAAAAATATGCTGGACAAATGAACTTTTGTTTATAAAGATCATTTTAATATTTTGTGGACAGTAAGTACAGCTATAGAAAATGACATAACACCTGATTGTGACTGACTTCTTGTTGCAACTTTACGGTTGGTGATGTACCATTAGTGGCATCTGTGGCTGAAGTCGGTACAGAAGGTCTTATGACATGTCTTACACGATTCTGAGCTCAATTGAGTGGACACACTCTGGCTTTTAAGCAAGATACAAATAAAGCTAGTTCCATTATTTGCTGATCTGGTGAAAAACATTATCTGTCAGGCCACATTACATGCAATGGTGTGATCTGATGAACTCAAATGTGTGCATCTCGTCCACTGCTGTCCTAAGGGCAAACATACACTTCCTACTCATCAATGTCCATTCCAGTGCCTCTGAGTTTCTTAAGGGCATTGAGGAAAGTAATTTAGGGATATTCAAAACATACTGTGATGGCAGGCATGTAAACACGCAGAAGGCAGAAGAGGCACAATGGCTGTTGCTTCTTGTTTGGGCAGAGATCATGTGATTCAAAGCGTGATATATGACTAAATACTACAGCTGGTATGCTAAGATCCATGAGAGATGTGGAAGCACTCTATACAATCTGAAAGCATAATCCCCAGAAGCAAATACAGGAAGTTAACATGATCAAGTCTTTTGTAATATGGCTGGATCTGTGTGCTTCACATATATGGGTTATAAATTATTTTAGAGCTCCAAGACACTTGTGCAGCAACTAGGGATGGCAGTTTTTATTATTTTTATGTTATGGCCAATAAATGGCAATTATCAAAATGTTATACAATTACAATACAACAGCAATACCGGCCGATAAAGTGTGTATTTCACCGATTTATTCTTAGACCTCTCTGAGTTGCAAAAAGAAAAAGGAAAAACAACAAGGCAAACTGAAGAAAGTCACCTAACCGGACCTTTTAAATGTGTCCATTCACAAGTAAATACGTTTAGTTCCTTCCTCTACCCATAAATCCAGAGTACATATGCCTTTCTCTGTGAACCCCCACTTGCTCATTGATAACAAAGTTTAGATCACGTCCTCAAAGCATTCTGACATGATTTTAAGACATATTCTTAATACCACATTACCAATTATTATTTTTAACTGTATATAAAAATTCTCATATTCCCTTCTGGTTAGGTTTTTTTTTTTTAATGCAAGTAAAGAATGTGACAATGTGTTAAGTACAGGGCAAATAAACACATATATTTTTTTCCTTTTCCACCGGTCACTATTTAACTTAAGGCAGTGTTCACTTAACAGAATTCAACTGCACTACCATGGTAACCAGTGATGCATAAATGGGCCGGTTTGAGGGAGGGGTGTAATGTGGAGAGAGGTCAGAGTGCGAGTGACGACCACCTCCTGAGAGAGAAAGCCTGCTCTTTTGTTGCAATACAATTGGGATCCGTTTCCCCGGCAACCGCAGTACCTTGTGTGGGGGGAGGGATGAAAAGAGAGGAGGGAGTGGTGAAGAGAAACAGACAGAAGAGGAAGGGACAAAGAAGAAGAAGATATGGATGGTAAATAATGGTCAACCCTGCCATTCCAATATCGATTTTTTTTTGGTCAGATCTCTTACAAAAGTCATAGTACCCCTCATTAATATCTAAAAATAATGATTCTCAAGCAATGCATAACTGATATAATTTGATTTTGAGTTGCCAGATTGAATAACAACTGCAGGATGCCCTTAATGATCACGCCATGGTAAAAATAACATGAGGACAAGGTCGTGTATCTTCGCATGTCTGACAAATGGGGGAGGAAGTTTAAATTAACTAGATGTCAAGCTACATCAGTCAGTGCACCTGAAATGCTTAATATTGTTAGCTTTACCCAGCATTCTCTTTGCATGCTCAGTTCAAAAGCTCCCTGAACCTTCCCATTACTCTATGCAACCAAAACAATCCCAGAAATCATCCCTTTAGGCAACTGTCCCACTTCACAACCGAGGTTGCCCAGAGTTCAGAGCAAGACGCTGCCACTGTCCCACAGTGTTTTTGAATCTGAAAGCAAGGACGATTAATGTGTCCCTTATGATGCCAGAAAGAAAGAAATGGTTTGGAGCTGATGATTTGAAAGATTTAGCCTGGTTTTCTTGATCTTGAGTAGACTAATTCTGACGAGTGCTTGCGGTGTTCGGCCAATCATAATGCACTGGGTCAGCTGGCCAATCAGAGCAGACTGCTCTTGTCGGAAGGAGGGACTTTGTAGAAAACGAAGCGTTTGAGAGAGGCGGGGCATAGAGGACCTACAATAATGTACAGTATTTGAAAAATAATGTGTTTTTTGAACATTAAAGCATGTCAACATATTCTGTTACACCAAATACACAAAATAATGATCTTTAAAAAAGCATCATATGACCCCTTTAAACTGTCAACTTCTAGTCATTGATGTCAGTTTGTAAAAATAGTAAAAGCTATTCATCAACCAAATCCTGGTTATTCAGCGGACTTCATACCCTTTGAAAATCACATGTAAAGCTTCATTTGGATTTTTTTTTTCTGTTAGTTTTATCCTCAAATGCGGAAATCATGCCAAAAAGTTCAGACCTATTAAGTAAATTCAAAGAACAGTATCCTTTCATTCTTGCAATCCAAATTAATTGAATAATTAAAAAAATAGTTTTAAATAATTATAAAATGAAATAATAATAAAAATAAATATTAATATATATATTTTTAAATATATAAAAATGTATTATAAAATAAATATTAAAATTATTTTTTGTATATACAATGCTTGGAAAATATATCTGCAGAGTATTACATGTGAATTGTGATTATCGTTCAAATGCATCTGAATATATTTCTACACTGATCTTGTAATCCTTCGCTCAGTAGTGGGTTTAAAAAGTATCATCACTTTATGTGTGTGTTTGTGCTGGTTACAGTGCAAAAGGTTATGTAACTCCACATTTCTACACAAATGTACAAGAACTAGTCCTAGGTTAATGTAATGCAATTTGATCACATCATTTGAGCAGTCAGCCTGTGTAATGTGGTTTACCTCCATGGCGAGAGCAGCGGTCTGCTGATCGTAGTGATTTAGAAGGTTGGGCATGAAGGTGGTATTGTAGGCGAGGCCCTGGCACATCCTTAATGTGATAGGCTCACAGGTAAACATGCTATGGAGGAGGGACTTTGTAGAAAACGAAGCGTTTGAGAGAGGCGGGGCATAGAGGACCTACAATAATGTACAGTATTTGAAAAATAATGTGTTTTTTGAACATTAAAGCATGTCAACATATTCTGTTACACCAAATACACAAAATAATGATCTTTAAAAAAGCATCATATGACCCCTTTAAACTGTCAACTTCTAGTCATTGATGTCAGTTTGTAAAAATAGTAAAAGCTATTCATCAACCAAATCCTGGTTATTCAGCGGACTTCATACCCTTTGAAAATCACATGTAAAGCTTCATTTGGATTTTTTTTTTCTGTTAGTTTTATCCTCAAATGCGGAAATCATGCCAAAAAGTTCAGACCTATTAAGTAAATTCAAAGAACAGTATCCTTTCATTCTTGCAATCCAAATTAATTGAATAATTAAAAAAATAGTTTTAAATAATTATAAAATGAAATAATAATAAAAATAAATATTAATATATATATTTTTAAATATATAAAAATGTATTATAAAATAAATATTAAAATTATTTTTTGTATATACAATGCTTGGAAAATATATCTGCAGAGTATTACATGTGAATTGTGATTATCGTTCAAATGCATTTGAATATATTTCTACACTGATCTTGTAATCCTTCGCTCAGTAGTGGGTTTAAAAAGTATCATCACTTTATGTGTGTGTTTGTGCTGGTTACAGTGCAAAAGGTTATGTAGCTCCACATTTCTACACAAATGTACAAGAGGATGAGCAGATGGGTTGCCTCGGCTCAACTCCATCCATTCTTTCTTCTTTTTATCTCTTTAATTTCCTGTCCCATCGCTCTATTATACTGAGGCAGGACTGGAGTGAATAAGTTAAAACCTTGTGACTGAGGACAGTGGGTTTTAGATAACGTTTACAGTGCTGTGTGTGTTCAACAGATACACTGGCTGCTGTAACAAGCTAATGCAGCTGTTTTCAGTTGGCCTCAGCTGAATACTGCGGCCCGGGAAAAGAGCATTAACCAATGGCTCGAATCAATCCAGGCGTTATAGCTGCAGATACAAAGATTACGGAGCAATCAAAATAAACAATGCGCCCGAGCACCATTAACTGCTCATAACAACAACCACTGTGTGGCATACAGTAGCAAGCCGCTGTAAAGCAACCTTGTTACATAAATAGTTATAAGATGCTTATTTCATCACGGCCACATGCAAAAGAGAACCAAAAAATGGTTAAAACAGCAAGATTCTTCAGAAATAAAAATATAGCAAACATCACCGTAGAACAATTTAAAGATTAATTTCCCTTTAAACATTTCTGTAATGTGATCTGAATTATCTGCAGGGCACAAGAAAGATCTGGGTCAAATTGAAAATGACAAATCTTTGATGCTGTTAGTACATACGGTTTAAACCAATGCATTTAAACATTTATGGTTTGCATTTATTGCTTCTCTCAAGGAAAATACAAACAAACTGCATATTAAAGTGATCCATGGCAAAGGGTTTTCCCTGGTTATTTTCACGACTCAAAAAAAACTTTTTTTTTTTTTCTGCTTACTCCATTTAGCAAAGAATTATATGGACAGGCCTGATTTCATATGTATCTAAGAAATGTATCCTATTAAATTGGAAAAAATAACACCCTCTAACATTTGAATTATTTAAACAAACCATAAATTACACACTTTACATGAAATATTCAACATACAGCTTCAAAAATACAACCCAAGTTTTCTTAGAGACCTGGAAAAAAATTTTTTGGGCCTGTCATGAACTCTTTGACCCATGTCTATGTAAGTCAATTTTCTATGTGCTGTTATTTTAATTTGTTATGTATGCTATGTATGCAATTTTTTAAATGTATTTATTTAATATTATATATATATAAATTCCTCTGAAGATCTGTATAATTTATTTTCTCTATTATTATCATTTCTTGTTGTTTGTTTTTCTTTGGTCTAAAGTGTTATTTTCTCTGATACTGTTTGATTGTAGTTTTGATTTTTGTGTTATATTGAAAATTGATCATTTGAAAAAGGAAAGAAATGTATAATTATGCAATGTAGGCGAGGCCCTGGCACATCCTTAATGTGATAGGCTCACAGGTAAACATGCTATGGCTTCCGGTAGCTTCCATATTGATGGCCATACATACAGTCAGCATGGAGTACAGAACCCAAAGGAGATCCATGGTGTGTCCGTCTGTGCTGTGACCTGCAAAGGATGGGTTGTATCAAGAAAATCTGAGCTCCGCCATTCCCTCATTAATTATCTGTTGCTTGACACCAGACTTAAATTACAGATAGGGTGTGCTTCTCCATTTTGTTGTGCCAGATCCAGGTCTTTTCAATGCATTTCCACTATTCAGTGTAGGTATGACTGTGGTTACATCTGTGGGAGAAAGAGCATCAAATGTCACATTTGAAATGAACAGGCTAACATGAATTATTCATGAATGGGGTGACAGTTTGAAGAATCTGGCTGGAGATCACTCAAGGCGTGGGAAATGTTTTCAAAGTGAACAATGCATGATCAAAAGCACTGCCATATTATACTGCAGTAAATAAAAGATGCTTTATAGGTGTATTACCTAGGGGGAACTTCAATGTAACTATGTATTCAATGCAAAGAAAACTGAACATTACAATCTCAGGATCACAATATTAACCTATTCAGAACCGAATTATGTTCCATGCTTTCAGTCTAAATGGAACCATAAATGATCATTAAAAAAAATTTATTTATGAAAAAATTAAATATTGATAGTTTAATAACTGGAATTCGATAACTTTAAAACAGTCAACCATTATTGATGTAGTTTTAGTTTTAATATATATTTCGTAGTCCGTGTGCCCAGTCACAGGCTGCGATTATTTCAAGATTGTCAACACAGCACATAAAAAGTGATTTTTTTTTGAGCGGTTTACACAAAAAACACAAAATTATTTTAATTATGTTTTTGGTCCGGTTTATATGACTGACACCTCAGTTTTTCACCTATTTTTAAATGTAACTTGCAAAAACATTGCAAAAAACACCCACCTAAAAAAACAAAACAAAAAAAAACACGGCATCATGCAGAACGAGGATTTTGCAATCACAAACGCCCTGCGTTAAAATTACTATGATTTTTATTTTATCCTTTTTATTAATTTTAACATAAATTCGATACCATTAAAAAACTGTCGCGTTTTTATCAAAATAAAGGCGAACAACAGATAACCCTTTCCTTTATTAACACATGAGACCCTGTCTATCGGAAGGCGTGTAACGTTAGCAGCTTCGCTGTAATGAAACTTCCTTCAAAATAGGTGTCTGCTGTATTTTGAGGTGTATTGTTCTTATTTTTCTTATGTTTCTAGACTAAATTAATTTTGATAATGATAAAAAGTCCTTCTTACCTCTCCAGTGGAGATCATTCACATGTGGCACTCCACTCTGCTTATCTAACAATACGAGTTAGATACTCGTAATAATACGAGTATCTATTATATACATTTGACGATGACGCGCCGACGATTATTGCTCTCACTCAATATTAAAGCATATTAGAACTTACGTCACTGGATTGAGTATGCAAACATAGAATGGCTTGGGTTTATCCACGGATATCATCGCTGCAATAACCAGGGCGCCTTTGGGAGCGATGAGCGTCTCCGCACTATAATGAAATGAAGTCGGCGCTGATGATTTGTGGTTGCCCGGAATGAGGGGCGGGGTGTTTAGTGTTGGGAAGTCCAACTGATTCTTGCGATTCGGTTCTTTTGGGCATTTTATTTCGAAGAATCGGTTCGAAACGAGTCATTGGGCATGTTTGAGATGAGCAAATTCTGCGCAGAATCGATCACCGGTGATCACCGCGAGATGCATGCCGGTTAGAAAAGTGTCCGACTTACATCCGACTTGCTCTGATGTCATGCTGACGTGTGCAAAAAAACTCTCGCGACGGCGAGGCGGCTGTGTCGGATTGTGCAGTCGAGCGCAGTTGCTCTCCACCGACTGCGCTGATCAAAAGCATGATGGGAAACAACTGACTGACGTCACAGCTTAATGCTCATTGGTTCAGACACCTGTGATGCTGCGGTTCTCTTCTAAAATATATATTTTTTTTTTATCTGATTTCATGTGATTATGTATTTAAATTATGCATGAATGTTCCCAAACACTATGACAGTGCGATCTCTGTGTGAGATATGTGATTGTTGTCATATTTCTATAAAAATCTAAAATACATGTTTGTATTAAAGTAAAAATGGATGATAAATACACCTTTCGTATGGAATTAAATAGCAAGCACTTTGAGTGTCTTGTTCATCATATTTATTTTCATATAAAAGTATCAGAACTGAAATTATATCATGTTTATTAGCAACACAGCACGTGAGTGTGAATAACGCGATATCTGTCTTTGATCTCGTTGGTATCTGTTCCACTTCGAGAGGGCAGAACTGTCCGTCTTGACTGGGCTTATTTCACTCCTCCCCTCACTGCAGCCGCCTACTCTCGCCAACATTTCAGGCAAGGCGAGGCGCATCTCAAACAAGCCTTTTGTTAATTATCAAACTTCAATAAACACAGTCAAAGTACAGTTAGGACTACAATAATACACATGAAAACATAAAACGCAAACAAAAATATGCATACAACTACACATACAGCCAGGGGGGTGGCCTAAACATTATGTAAATATATTAAAGGACTTACATATGGAGACAGTCTTAATTGCTTTCTTATTATGTAAATACAAAATCGTCTTAACATAAATTTGAATTTCTTTCTCAAACAAGCCTCTTAATTCTTTTACGTGATGACATTATTACGTCATATAGTGGTCGCTTCTGGAGGCGTGGTATATTTACAACATGTTCTAAAAGTTGATAGATTTTTTTTTTTCAAATAATAATAATAATAGTACGTTCACGTGTCCCAAACCAGTTTGTTGCCGCCACAATGCTGCTAATAAAAACATGAATTCATTTAGAACCTACATATAATTAGCATTTACATTAAACAATACTAACATTAATGTACATCTCTCAAATGAAAAAGTGTTTGCACATATTAATAAAATTCTATTTAATAAAGTCAACTCGTAAACACATATCATGTTGATAAAACTTTCATACAACAAAATTAAAGTAAAACTGTATACTACAAAATAATATATATTGTTTTCATTTATAACATTTCTGCTATTCGGTTAAATTAATTTACTTTCGTCCCATTAGTCAAATCCTCTGTCCAATTAGACGAGCATCAACCGATTCGTTTAAAAGATCTGATTCAAAAAACGAACCGTTTGCGAATCGAATACTTTTATTTATTTATAACATTTCTGCTATTCGGTTAATACGAAACATTTGGGATAATGTAAGTACACAAATCAGCAAAATATATAACACTGTTCTAATGGTTTTTGGATATTTTAATAAAAAAATCTTACATATTGTGCCTTTAATTTACTTTCGTCCCATCAGTCAAATACTCTGTTCAATTAGAGCATCGGTTTTGTGAACCGTTTCATTTTAAACCGATTCGTTTAAAAGATCCGAATCAAAAGAACGAATCGTATGCGAATCGAATGATTTATTAACGTAGTAGAATGAAGCAGGGTGAGGCTGAAAGCCGTCGAAGTGAAGAGAGTCCGTTGAACGAGCGTGACACACGGTATCTATATCGGATCAGTAAACATTTAATGGTTTCGTTATGATAGCTAACATGACTGTTTCCGGTTGACATTACTACAAATTGTAGGTTTGATTTTTTTCTCTTTTATACTGTATTGTACTGTACGACTAGACCATTTTGTTGTTGCTAGTATGAAAATCACAGCACATTTGTTTGTCTTAACATGGGTATGTAATTTTGATAAAGTGCTCTTAATGTTGTGGTGCCTAATATGATTGATATTTTATGCAGGAGCTGAATCTCAAACGTCTGAACTTGACTGAAAGATGCCCCATGCTCCCAGAACAAAAATGCAGACCAAACTGAGTACCTGGACACCTCTAAATCATCAGCTCTCCAATGCTCATGTACGTGCACCAAAAATATAGTATATGATCTTCTGCTTTGTTTTACATGAGAATTGCAGTTTCAATATGTTGACTTCAGGTGTATTTTTTCTCGCTACCAAAACAGTGATATTACAGCGTAGAATGTTTCATATCAAATGTAAACACTTTTGCAGGTTTTTGAAGAGAGAAGAAATTTGCTTGGAAAGTGGGTAAGAAATGCACTTACTGTAAAAATCGCAATGTCTACAGTTTCTTGGTTTTGTTATTTGCTCTGTTGATTATATGCTCAAACCCTCTTCCTTTTTACCGCAGTTTGAGAAGTGGACAGATAGCCAGCGGAAACAGGTGCTGCAAGATTTTTTCTCCAGATGCTCTGCTAGTCAGCTGAAACATCTCAGACAGACTCTGAGCAGCTGGGTACCAGAGGAAGCCCTCGACTTCACTAGGGTCCTTCCCAGGGTCATATCACTCTATATATTTTCATTCCTTGACCCCCGAAGCCTCTGTAGATGTGCTCAGGTATGTGTCATTGTTAAATTTACCAAATAAATTAATAAACATGATTGGAATAGTCTGAATATTTTGATGGCATGAATAAAACACACTTTTCTACATGCACACTCAAATATATTCTATACTTACTGTGTGCAAATACACTAACGTTCAGATGCATTTTTTTTTTCAGAATTCTTTGACTAACAGAAAGCATTTATTTGAAATAGAATGTTTTTGGTAACATTATACATGTTTTTGCTGTCACTTTTGATGAGTTTAGTGCATCTGTGCTGAATAAAAGTATTAATTTAGAACATTAAAGTAAACATCTTACTGATACTGACCCTAAACTTTTGAACAGGACTATGTGTATATCATTAGTGTATTCTCTAATTACTGTAATACATTCATTTGCAGGTAAGCTGGCATTGGAAAAACCTGGTTGAGCTTGATCAGCTGTGGATGCCTAAATGTCTGAAACTAGGCTGGTGCATAACCTTTACTCCAACACCATTTGAACAAGGTGTATGGAAGAGGCATTACATAGAGACAGTGCAGGAGCTTCACATTAGCAGGCCCAAGGTACGATGTCGCTGAAAGGCTGTTTTAGAGTCTCATCTACTGGAATAAATGTCATTTTTTGTGGCTCACATTTTCCACATTCTCCAGGCACCTGTGAAGGAAGAGTTTATTATCCCTGAGGTGAAAGTAATTGGCAGTGAGATAGAGGGGTCACTTACTGTGATCGGTCACAGGGAGTTGAATTCTGTCTTCCCAAGTCTTCATGGGAAGAGTAAAGATGGGAATAGCTTCGTGAAATCAGCCAAAGGTCTTCCGCCTTGGAGAGACTCAGACAGGCATCCCACTGACACAATACGCTTTAACTACTTGGATAACTTGGACCCAGTTGAGCATGCAAGAAAAGTGTAAGTGAAGAACTTATTTTGTTTTGCACACGCATAAATACACGACCGTCCAAAAGTTTGGGGTCAGTAAATTTTTTTTGAAAGAAATTAAAACAAAAAAAAAAAAAAAAAAAAACTAAAATAAATATATATATATATATATATATATAATATGAAGCAGCACAACTGTTTTCAACATTAATAACAATAAGCAATGTTTCTTGAGCACCAAATCAGCATATTAGAATAGGTAGGAAAGTGAAGGTGGAGCTGTCCGGGAGTTGAGTCGGTAGAGTTGACAGAAGTGAAATCCCTGGAAAAACTTTTTGCGGAAAATACTGGTAAGCATAACACGACTATATAACGGTGTCTAGCTTATTTAAAATAGTGGGGGAAATCTCTAATTCGTTCATAAGCTTGTAAGTTATTCACAATAATAGTTAGCTCGCGCTCTAGCTCTGTCAAACGTCTCAATATTCCCAGAGCCGCAGAATGTGTGACTCCAGTTCACTGTAGAAAAAGTACGTCTTTAACTCTTAGCCTTGTTTCAGCAAACCTCAGTCACAACAATTTTTATCGAAGAAAAACGCGTTAGTAGTCCTCAGTGATTTATTCGGTATCTGTTTCTGCGACAACGGTTATGAAAATTGAACAAGTTTTAGAGGACGTTAAAATGTCACAGATTTATTATGTATCTATACTAACTTTGTGTACTTTTTCATCGGTTTGGTTGACGAGCTTCCTGGTGTTTTACAGTGAAGCCCACCCGCTGGCTGTTACATTAGTTGTCAGTTGGCAGTCTCGTGCGTGCAACGGTGTTTAATGGCCAACGGTTTGTCTGCTTGCTGTTTATTCAGAAGCACGTTTGTATCTGATTTTACACCTCAAAGGCTTTTAAATGGAAATTAGGATTTCAAAAGCGTTATATCTTAAAGTAATATATAATTCATGTGTGTTTTGTCAATGATATAGACTGCTGACATAGATTAATCCAAGTACAGTTGACTTAAATGACAAGTAATATCATCGTACAGTAAAGCACTTAACGTTGCCTTAAGTTACTTTGAACTAAATGAGTCTGCTAAATGGAAGATTGTTTTATTTTTCATAGCTTTCATTTTCTTCTGTTGTTGGACATTTAAATGTCCAAAATGATAGCATCCACTAAATGTAAGTCTATACAATTGCATTTCTCCGGATAAAGGTTCTTTCAAAGTGCTAAACTGGTGAAGAGAAGTTCCAGGTTGTTATTGTCAACCTCAGGCCACAACAGCTGTTCCTTTACTGACACTCAGGAGAGCTGGGAAACTTAAATCCCACTCATTGGATCCTGTACAGGGATGGATGGAGGGCAAGTAAGGAGGACACCCCCATAGTTTGAAGTGTATCTCTAAATTGTTGAGATAATTCTCTTCCATTTTCTTCAATGCTTCAGTTTTTGTGTTTCTCTGGACAGCCAGAGGGTTTCTAGATTTATTATTGTTTTTCCAGATCAATTGTGAAATGCTGCCTGCTTCCAGAAGGATGGCGACAGCTGCGGTGCTCTGCATGCTGGTTGAGCCTCTGGGTATGGCTTTGCATGATATCTTTTGAAATGACAAGGATCTTATTTCAGGGTAGTTTGACTAGTCTCCCATCCTGGCAGAGTTTTCGTTGTGGTTAGAAATGCACAGAAGCACCTGGAGATTGATAATGGCATAGTTTTTGTGGACATGTACTTCCTCTTTCAGTAATATTACCCATGCAAAACTGCATGAAATTCCTTTTTTTTTTTTTCTTTTCTTTTTTTTTCTGATTATAGACTGTTGGCTTAAGCCTTTTTGTCATTAGATTGATCAGTCTGCATCTGAACAGAACAGAACAATATTTCAGAACAATATTTCAGGCCTAAATTAGTGTGCATTTCACTGCACATGTGCTGCCTTTGTTTTCATCCGTGCTGAGTAGCTAATTGATTGGTCTGAGTCATTTTTCTTTTTCAGGCTTTGATACGCATCTCATGCAATGACAAGCACGGTGGCAGAGCATGCGAAAGATCGCGAAAGGGAGTGCAAATGGTTGTAGTGAATGTGCAGCATTTTGGCAGTGTGTAAATGCATTGTGTGTCGTCCAAAAGGCTTCCGCTGCCTCATCCAGCTGGCAACAAGGCATGTGTAAAATCACTTGTTAATCCACAGAGGTTGTTTGTCTGTTCAATACAGTGCATGTGTTGCAGCAGAACAGGACGCACTTTCAGTTGTTTTAGCTGTCCTGGGTTTTCTACGTGTAATTGGATTAGTCTACTCATGATTTGTCAAGCTTTCAAAGCTGATTACATAATTGTAACAGTACAATGTTATCATTACAACATGAAAAAATTAGCGATGCACTGTATCATATTGGGTATTGGAAGAGATTTTGTAATTTAATGTATTGGTTGATAATAGACATTTAATTTTCCAGTTCAATTACCGGATTTGTTGGCTTGAAACAGATGGACTCTTAGAATCATAATATGCTTAGTAACTGAGCTTTAATAAACGCTCACATATTTCTGTGTTTTCATCCGCAAATTGCAGCAGGGAGATTTAACTAATACAGAAAACATCCAGTAGCCTGATTTGATATGCATGTCTATTATCTGGTATGCATTATGCATTAATATTGACAAAACGTAGATAAATTGCTTGCCTGGGTCTTATCTTTGACATTCTGAAATATAATATATTGTGCAACACCAGTGTGATATTTTCTGTTGTTCACTTTCGACAAACTTCCTCCTAGTTTTACACTTCTATTTCCACTCTATGTCTGACTGAGAGTCAACTATGCTGAGGTTAATCGCGGGGGAAGTAGCTTATTTGAAATGCAATGATTGCAGAAACCACTGGTAATATTTTTACACAATATATTAAGTAGGATGTTTGTGAAAGCTTGCAGCCCTACTGTTGTGCCTGAGAACAGAAGCATGGTTTTACTAGCTGCAGGCGATCGTGTAGGTGATAACTCTGTGTTGAGCTGCGTACTGTGAGTTGGAGTGTTACTAGAACTGACTACTCAGCTGGCATTTGAACTTGACTGTAACCTTGGCCGTCTGAGTTGTCTGGCTCTACTCAGTGATGCTACTTTTTCATTCAATTGAGCAGCTGCTGGAATTTAGATTTATGTATGTTGGTGTTTTTGTCCATGGTAACAGTCTGTGAAAGCACTGTGAATGAAATGTATCATAGCCCAGATATTCTTTCTTTCTTTCTCTCCATCTCTCTCTTTCTGTCTTTAATTTGGACTCACTTGTTTAAATTTATGTAACCTGGTCTTTGCTTCACTGATTATTTGTTGCTATCTATTTATCTGGACAGGAAGTTTAGCCAAATACCAAATGCTTTTTTTCTGTGATACCAAGAAACAATGAATTTGTTCATGAAGACTCCATGACCCAGATTTTTTTTTTTCTGATAGAGTCAGTCAGGAATCCAAAAATAGATACAAAGCTAATAGCATTTTAAACCCCCCTTTTTTGTTGCAACAAATGCTGGTGCACTAGGGTAAAGAATTTTTTTTGTTTGTTTTTTGTATCATTTCGAAATTTGAAGCAAAAACAGAATGGTTTGACTTCAGTTTTGTGAAACTATGCATAAAAAATATCTGCATGAAACAGAAACAGCAGAGCTGAATGAGACGCAGATTCACTCTCTGCCAGCAGGTGGCTCTTAAAGCGTTTTCTTGGTTTCCGCTGTAAACAAAGCAGAGCTGCACATATGAACTTTAATATGCAGGGCTCCAGACTGCGACCATTTTTTCTGCCTGTGCGACTAAATGTTGTGTGCGCACTTCTATCCAATCACGTTGATGGATAAAAATTTAATTAAAATAAGCATGTAACGACCACAAATGGAGGAAAATAGTTGAGTAAAAGTACCGATACATCACTTAAAATGTACTCAAGTAAAAGTACACAATTTTTAAACTACTCAAAAAAGTACAATTACTGATAAAAACTGCTTAATTACTGTAACGTGAATATTTGTAATTCGTTACTTCACACCCCTGCATACTATAGTGCCATTTCTAACTATTGGCAGAGCAGGCAGTTGACCTCTGCATTATGAAGGGCCTCCATAACTGTACCACAGCGCAATATAGGTAATGGCATATTTTTCATGTTAACATTGTGCACTACCCTCCAGGTACAATATTCTGATTGTTTGCATCTTGTTTTTTAAGCCCATAAATAATGTACTCGTTCTAATAAATTAAAATCATCTTAACATTGCTGGTAGGTTATCATTAGGCACACTCTCTTTGTTTAAAAAATACAAATAAAAATTAGAAGGGTTCTAAACTTAATGCGCTGTCTTCACTGTACCTCATGCACACACATTTAGTCACTAGATCACGCTGCGTGTGCTCAGACAAACTTTTTAGCGCTGCCCCGCGATATTACCAATAAAATAGCTTAATCGCTGAAGAGCTACATTATGTTTCTCAACAAGGAGCTGGTAACATCATCGTTTCTAAAGGAATTAACTTAAAGCCACAGCTTCACTGTTAATAGAGAAACATGGCAAAACTGTGTTAATTCATACATACACAGCCTCTCTCTCTCTCTCTCTCTCTCTCGCTCATAAATGAACACTTCATAAATTACACTTTTCTGATAATAGAGTATTGAAGTCTGTGAGATCGCTAAACTGCAAGCTAATCTGTGTTTTCAGAAAGCAAGCGCGTTTATCCACAGTGGAGAGAGCGCACGCACATATGGTTGCCAGGTTGACAATAACAAGTAACACACTTGGCAGATATTTCCGTATTGCGCAAGTGGGAAGCTCCGTTTCGGGGATTACGTCTCTTTATATCAGGCAACCCCGGTTGTGTTCCTCTGCGGCCAGATTAAACCTCGTTGTAGCCTATATATTATGCTCTATTCATAATTTTTTTTGAAACCTTGCACTTTTCTACTCCATTTTAAACTGTGTTCGTGTATTCAAATTAAGCGCGGTCCACTGCTGCACGCGTGCCGCGATATCTCACAACGAAACACACAGC